TGCCACACTTTGGGCCCCCTAATTTCCAGAATTACCCATGCACATGTACGTAATGTTAAAGAGGTGCATTTTCTTTATCTGCACACACGGCCACACCGCTGATCAATAGAAACACAGGACGCATGCATACATCCTTTACCTGTGTCAGTGGTGTCCCTGTGGGATCGGTAATGAGGGCAATTCAACAAGGCCATGTCTACTTGACTGTAATCTCAACTATTCAATTGTCACTGATTGCATTAAGCTAATTACCCCCTGGCCTGGGGGTGGGGGTACAGGTCACCAGGCTTCATTCATCTAACAAATCCCACTCCACTTGGCTCTGAATTGCAAGCAGTTGGTTGAGGTGGGAGGCTCTTGGTACAATGCACATGTGCTTGACTTGTAACAGGAATATGTGACGTCATTTCTGCTTCTTCATACTAGCCCGTGAAACCTGGTGCGCTACTTTTTTTCAGTAGCTGGGGTGACGAATGATTCATGAAGAGGGGACAATGCAATACACCATTTAAGACATTTCAAAAACGGGAATCCATTACGTCGCTTCGATAGCTTAGTTGGTAGTGATTTGAATTCCAGATCCATAGTCCCTGGTTCAAATCCGACCCATTTGTACTATTCATTTTCCAATTTTATCATTGTGTTTGGGATTTCCTTTTTCAATTGATGCAGAAACAGAGTCCAAGCGTGAACCCTCTAAGAGTCTTGAGAAAAATAGCAGACCAGGTTTCACGGGTTAGTATCTAGTCACTTCTCGTATCGTAGGGGTCTCTATGTGCCAGGTGCATCAGGATAAAATATCTGACTTAAGACTATCAGCTGCATTATGAAACGACCCCCCCCCCAAAAAAATGAACACAAACAAATGAAAAACTTTGATTTTATGTGATATAAAAATAATGGTGTTTTTGTCCTTCTTGCATCAATTGTAGTAACCTGACTTACCATAATACATGCACAAATATTTCCCTCCCCTCAAGAATATCCTTCTATTTGTTCTTCGAGTCATAACTCATCCAATGTCGCCCAAAGCTCACGTTCTTAAAGCCTACATGTACGGTACGTGTGTGGGGTTTGATATGTTTCCATTGCAGTTAGTATATTGCATACCTGTAGTAAATTCGCACATGTATATTTTATACAAGAGTTGAGCTGATAGCATTCCTGTATAATCCAGAATAGCTGTGACATGCTTTATGTCCATTAGATAATCTGCCAGGAAGTTTAAAAGCTGATAAAGGTAACAACTACTCAGGTCAGGGGAAAATGCATGGAATTACATGTATATGGTACACTACACGTTGGTCTACCGTACATGTACGGTATATTCATGCAGTACATGTACAAGGCTGTAGGCCATATGAAAAATCTATGAGCATTTACATTGTACACGTATTCTTGCTGTAAATCTCCCTGGGCTTCTGTTTTTAACATGTCGTGAGGGTACAATGTACATGTACTGGCCCTGGTAGTGGAAATGGAATGCATCACGGGGTGTATATATGCACCTAAGGAAAAGGGTGCTTGTTAAATCACCAGTTTGTTTGGTTATTTTGTCAAGCACAATGTAAGTGATGGTCCCTAATATATTCATGCATTGATCGGCATACATATGCATGCACTTGAAAAATTAATGATGCGGCGTCTATAAACATACATGTACATGATCTGCATGGAAAGAACAAAATTGAAGATGGCATTGTTAACAAAGCAAATGACATGTACCTTGGAGCCTGGACGTGTGATATGCACTTGTAACCTTCAACATTGACCAGGTGTCTTGCGTCTTCCTTCCTGAATCACCTTGTGCATCTGCTTGCCAGAACAATTGTTCTGCTGCTTGTCATGCATTGTATGTTCACAAAGTGTGCAAAAGTGTTGTTTGCACGTAGCACTTTAAAAAATCTTTGGGGGCACTTTCGGGACTTGAAAAGAAAGAAAACAAACTACTGAACTACACTAAACCATTCCAAAATTGTCCGAATCAAAGTGATTTGAACTGAACCAATTCAATCTTTAGGACGGATATATCCCTCCCTCCCCCCAAATTGTGGAATGAAGGATAGTGCATTTGTTGACATGTTTAAAGTTTCCCCATAAAAATAGGGGGGGGGCAATTTTCTACATTTTTTTACTTCTTTTTGTTCAGAGACAATAATATGTAAGTCGAAATATTCCCAAAACATTAATGTATATTTTGCTACGAAAGGTCTAAACTAGGCAGCCAAATCTTAAAGCTCAATGGTCTCTTTTAAAACATGGTGGGGGAAAAGAGAAATTTTGGTAGACCACCAGGCCACTTCTGTAGGTTGGAGAATGTTGCATGTACCAGTATATTTTATAATTCAGTGAAATTACCCTCAGGTAAAACTTGACACGAGCATACTGTACTGTAACAAACACGTACATGGCACGAACCAATAAATGCGATTAGAGATATTGGTACTATGGGAAAAGTGAAATGGGAAGTGGTTACACTGAATATGTACCTGTACTTCTTTAAATGACTGGTTCACATGAACTCCAGTCCAGTAACTGAAACCGGTTCCCTGCAGGGATGTAATTCAAGCATCTTTTCTTTTTCTTGACCCAGAGACCAACCTGTGGGTCCTGGGAGGCTAGCCAAATTCAGTCCATCGCTTCTCCCTGCAGTTATGAAATCTGGCATTTTATGACATGGTTACGGCAACAGCCCGATAAGTCGTTCGTTCAGCTGTTTTTCTAACCTCGGGCTGATGGGATGAATCATCCCTTTTCCCCTGAAAGGGAGACACAGGGAGCCAGACGAGGGTGATGTGATATCATCTCCTAGGGTATCGGACAAATTTTAGGTGACATTTTAGAAGTCTCATTCATGTTAGGATAATAGGCCCGGTGTCGAGAAGGGCACAGTATACTAAAGCAACTCAAAATGCTGTGTATATGCTCCTCCCCAATGATAACCATAGTTTTATCCAGAGGGGTGCCTGGGCACCTTTTGGACTGTTGGACACCTCACAGGGCCATTTTGGACACATTGTGTTTTTACACAAATGCATGTAATTTGTAAAAGCATAAAACATTTATGTGGCAATTTGGATGCCCTGTTTTTCACTCCATGGGTAATGTGAAGACTCAGTTTGAAATGCTGGTTAAAGCCCTGACATGAAACCAAAATCCAATTTTTTTCAGGGCTGTTAAAGGGTAGCTGCAATGAATTTTTCTAGGCACAATCTTTCTGCCACCTTGCACTCTTCCTCAATGTTTGAAACTCTGTTACACCCCCATTTGGTTAAATGCAATGAAAATTGCATTTTTTTAAACTTAAAATTATCCATGATCAGGCTTTCCTGGACAGATGAGGGCACTCTTGCAGTGATGTCATCCAGGGACGACATACATGTAGTTCTTTGCATACATGTTCATATAGGTTTTTCTATTCAAATGTGCACCCATAATTTACTTATTGAAAAGCATTGGTGCTCACTTATTTTTACACACACAAACAATAAGCGATCAGGAAAGAAGAGAAAATTTAGTCCAGCAAAATCTACATGTTTTTTTGTGTACGTACAAACCAATGTAACATTTAGGCTTTCTTCTTGGGATGACATCACAGTTTTGCTCATGAATATGGAAATACTCAATAGCATAAAAGGAAAAATGGCAGCAAAATACCCTTAAAATAGTGAAACAAAAGTTGACAATAAAGACACAGAGGTTCATTTTGAAGGGTTGCACTGAAACAAATTGACTGCAGAGCTCTACGTGTACCCTTGAAACAGAGAATATTGCTGGGCATGTCTGCTGCTGTGTTTAACCATCCCAGGTTTACGATGACCTTCTGCTTCTTTGGTCAAGCACAAGAGTTCCAATCATCATTTGGTAATAGCTACACAGCATCTGTTGTCTGCCTTAAATGGCCATGCAGTGTGAGGGCAACCAGCGGCCTTCTTCCAGACTGCTGCCCACTGATATGATGGCATCAGATGGTTGGGTGAAGGGCTAGTTAGATGGGGGGAAGGGGAGGGTGGGGATGCCACTGTGACCAAAGAGGGGACAAGACCTACATGTACATGTACATCGAATCGCAGTCTTGATACTGTACGCATACATGTACCGTACGATGCTTAGGATCTGTGTACGCTGTTGGATTGTGTTGTTGGGCATGAAGTTGAATAAGGCTGAGTCAGCTCAAACAATTGATTATTATTCCTTCAAGAGCAGAAGCCAAATGCACAGAATTTTACACAAAGTAAAAAATCAAAATTTTGAAGAAAAAAAATAAATTTATGATCCTTACTGTTCGGCATTACGCATTTACGGAAGCTGCCTATAGGACTACTCATAACATCTTGAAATATGCTTTGAGAATGCAACTTTGTAACCGAATGATTGAATTTTGCCATTTTTTAAATTCTATTGACTGTCACCTCCAAATAATCAGTTTTGAAAATAAATATTGGAATATTCAATGAATGATCGAACACCTGTACTGCCCTAACATTGGACCGGCGTGTGCTCAGTAAAGGATGCTGACTTTACGTGTAAGAGGCCTCAATGTGGTCTGGCATTGTTGTGGTGTGCACTCTTTTGTATTAACTCTGAGTACAGGTACTAGATAAGAAAGAGCAAAACAGCTGAGATCAGCTTATCAAGTCACAAGTGTGTATGCCGCACGATATTTTGGCTAGTAAACCTACTGTACTTGCATATTTTTAAAATTTTTCATATTTGACTGCTGATTAAGTTTTGATCCCTTTTGGTGTGTAAAAAATCATATTCAGTGGGAAGATTTGGATCTTTTTTACAAGAGCGCAGTTTCTGCATGGTTCTCACAGGATAGCAGGCTACCGTACATGTACATACATGTACATACATGTACTAGTGCATATGTACCATACGTGTGCATTCTTGCTCAGTGTTACTGTATTCGGTCTGTTCTCTAGATATTTTCCTGGTCGTGATAATTAATCGCTGTGACATATTTGTAGTGATTTATTTTGCTGTCCCCGCTTCAGGTTCTCTCCTGCCACAACCTCCTGTCTAGTGGCTGACACGACCAAGTTTTGTACCTACTGATAGATGACAAGAGGGCGCCCTCACTATGGCGTCCTTCAACAGGGGAGCCGAGAAGCTGACGCTGAAGATCTTTCAGCCCAACGGGAGCTTCAACTCCGTCAAATGCATGGAGACAACTGATATCAAGGTACATTGGCTGTGTGAGTGACCCAGGGTGGTGGTGGTTATAAGGTGACCTGCTTGTGGACATAAATGTGTGAGCCCAGATTGGTTTGGAATCCAAACACTGCAGATCTACCGGTATAATGAATGTTGCTTTACATCAGTATTTATAATGCTTTCCTCAAGCATTTGTTGTTTATACACATTTGACTCAGTTGGTTTCAGTTGATGAGATTCTGATGTAGTTACATGTAGTTTGCATACTGCCAATCCACATCGATCGAACATTGCTATGACAAAGGATATTGTTTGTTTAAAAATGGTACATAAGCTCATAAAAAAAGCAACAGAAATTGAAATATGTCCAAGGCTGTTCAATGAATTATATTGAGTATGCTTTTATATATACGTACATGTATATTGGCCAAAATATGGTTCATAAAAAATTGCCTTTATTAAATTGAGTTCAGACCTGATTTAAAATTGTCAACAAACTGGGGCTCAAATATTGTAGTTCAGGAGTTCAATCCAGGTTTGATATATTTAGACCTCAGATGTGGGTCTGAGGTTAGAGATCAAGAATGTAAAGATGATTTCGTCACAGTACATGTAGCATTGGCTTACATGTGGGCACGCTTATTGTCACCTGCAAGTTTTAAATTTATCCGAAAATCCAGCTGGGAAGATTTTAGTATGCGTACGTGGAACGTTGTGGCACATGTGTTTCACAAAACCGTTTCCCCAAATGGAAACTGAGAAGCAAAGAGAATTTGCAGCCAGGCTGTCCCAAAGGACTTTGCTTTTCTCTGGTCTCAGGTGGTAAATTGCTTGTGTCGTGGACCCAATTTCATAATGCTGCTAAGCAAAGCATATATGTATTTTACAGTGAACATTGCTAGTGTTGCAACATGTGTACACGTATGCTCAGCACAAAAATTGCATGTGCGCACATAGAGATTTCCATGTTACTGGCAAGTCAGTAAGTTAACGGCGAGGAAATATTTCCTCCAAACTAAGCATGCCATTTGCTGTACTTACTACTGACCGGTCTCGGTCAAAGATGCTGGAACCTCTGTAAGTGTAAAATGGTATACTGAGCAGCGCATGACATTGGGTCCTGCTCAGTGTCCCCATGGCATCATCAACAAGTTCGCAGGTTGTCAGGTTCTGCACTGCTGGTTTTTTGCACTTTGGGGACCTTCTGCGGGGAAGGCTACCTTAGTCACAGATAAACACCACCATGTGCCATTATTACCGATCTTTGGGTCCTTACAGGGTTAGAATTACAGGTAATCTACATGTAGATAGTGGACGGCATCACAGCACATATGTTGAGTTATTGTTTCCAGTAAATTACTGCCATAAATTACAGTTACAAGTGCGCAATTGAAAGACTTTCAACTGTGGTTCTCCAACTTGGAACCAATTAGCAGTTGGGCCCTTGGGTGCCCAGATACCGGCAGAAATGAGTCAGATGTGGTAAAACACAGGCATTACCTATAGATTCAGAAATCATGGCATTGGTTGGGCATTCAGCACTTCTTCCTCGCTGATAAAGAGACAGGTCAGTGGGTTTCGTGCAACCAATTTCCACCACCAACCTCTCTGTAAAAAACTAGGTAAAGCTAGGCTAGGCTAAAGTTGCATACTTGTATCAAAGATACGTATACATGTATAGGAAGTGCACATGTTGAGCTAAATCAGATCAACTTCGAGGCTAGATTCCTGTGTCCTTCTCAAGAAGGATATTTGTTTAAGCCAAAGAAAACAAAAGGAGACTTCTTTGTCATTCCAACTGAACAACTGTCATTGGCTGGAAGTTATGTTGAGTGGTTGTTTCACGAAAATATACTGACACCATATTTTAAAGCATCAACTTGGTTACAAGTTTGACATGAATTTTGGATAGTATTTCCTGAGTTGCTTCTTGATATTAAGTGGCAAAACCTCAACAGTTTGTAAATTGTCCCATCTATAATGATCAAGGTTTCAAAGTTTGAATCCGTCCCCAGAGAATCGTGGCTTTGCCAATCTACACCATGTACATGTACCAATATTATGTGGCTGATTATACAAGTGAATGATAGTAATACCCGTACATGCATCAACTAACAATTAGTCAGTTGACAGGAATTCTTCTTCTTGTCCAAAAATACAATCCTCCAATTTGAATTTTTTTCCACATACCCAAGGGAGTTGGGATATCCCTGATCTTGTTGACAATGGGACATTACCAGTGCATACACATGTAGTTCTTATAATGCAACATTTAAAAGGCAATTCAGTTACTGGATATCACGAAAATCCCCACCTACATGTAGCTTTTGTGTGCGCCGCCCAGCCTATGTAAATTGACAAAGCACTTCATCTACTAAATCTTGTGCACCCCACATGGCATTGGTTTCTAGATAACACTGGATTCTGACAAAAAAGTACATGTACCTGTATATAAAGTGCATGGTAGTGCTTAAAAGCATGTAGTAATGATCGTTTGAAATTTTCACTGCACCACTACTGCACTGTAGCCCTATTTGAAGAGAAACAGAGATAGTGAAATGGTACATGTACCACACTCATGCCCATTCAGGTAAATTGCAGTACCCTGTAAGAGGCGTGTAAAAGGCATACATTCTGGTATTTGTTCCGTAGTTGTGGGGACATACATGTATGTGTATACACATTATTTCACCCTTTTTTTGTGGGAATTGAAAACATTTTGGGGACAGACAGATATCCCACAACTCGGTCCTAATATACCTACATGTAACAAAAGAAACTATCCCCTTATCACAGTGAAGGACTGCAACTGTTGTGTACAGGTGAGGTGCTACTGCAGCTATGAATTATGCAGGATCAGCATAGATCTTTTTGTCTGTATCACAAGTGCAACCGTGGTTGACAAACTTACTGTATGGCTAGCTGTAAGAACACAACCAGAAAAAATCATTTACAAAAAGTTATAAAATTGGGTTCAAATATTAAACTATATACTAAGTATTAAGTATAAATGCCTTGCATTTTGACAGTTACCTATGAAACAAAATGTGTGTTTTGAGGCAAAGCATGGGTGGACTTTCTACCAATTTAGGCCGCCTACACAAAATGGCAGTCAGTGAGGTCTGTCTTTTGGTTAACTTGTACTTTATTTTGTTACTAGAGTGTGATCCATGCGGTTGTGGCCAAGCTGGCCAGGGGCGAGAGAGCCTTCCAGAGCAGCTTTGCTATTCGCCTCCAACACACCCACTCGGAGGAGTGCCACTGGCTCCACCGGGACCTGACCATTGGTCAGATCAAGCACAAGTATGAGAGAATACACCCAGCATTGGAGTGGAGGTCAGTATAGCAGTGTAGCTATTAGGTCATTGGGTACTAGACAAGAGTACGCCTGGTTGAGAATCAGTGTTACTGCATCAGGATTTATGTTGATGGCTTTGCTGCAAGGAAGTTCAGAATGTGCAAAGCACAAATTAACTGTGTACCAGGCAGTGTTGTAGTCGAGACCATCACAAGACCATCACAAGACGGTAGACCATGACAAGACCAGACACAAGTGCATGTAACAGGGTGAAGAGTGACAAAGGAATGCTTTTGTTGTAGTTCATTTGAATATCTTGTGGCTTGAATTCAGACTGAGGTCTTGTGTTGGTCTTGTGCTGGTGTTGTGTGGTCTTGTGAAGGTCTTAAGTGGTCTCACTACAACAGTGGTACCAGGTAGCCCAGACGGCTAGTGTTTGAAACACTTTCCATCTCACACTGTGGTCCTGGGTTCGATTCCCAGCCCAGAACTGTATGTGAGAAGAGTTGTTGAGTTGGGTGGCCCAGACGGCTAGTGTGTGAAACACTCCCCATCTTGCACTGTGGTCCTGGGTTCGATTCCCAGCCCAGACTGTGTGAGACGAGTTGTTGAGTTGATTCTCTCCATTGCCACAAGGGTTTTCTTCTGATTCTCTAATTCTACTTCCTCAGCAAAAATCAGCAAGTATATGTTCATGCGTTTTCCAAAGGAGAGTTCTGTGCTTGTCAGGCAAGTGATGAAATGAGATGAAATAAAGAGATTAGCCTCTTTGTATTTTTTTCCTTTAGTTCTGAGCAAAGTTTTGCTGAACCTTCTGTCACACCTTTGTAAACTTTAAAGTTCTGACCAACTTTTATACCACAGCAAAATACACAATTTCTGCTTTGCAGACCTGTTGTGCATTTCATATGTCTGCAGGGAGTTAGCAGTGCCAAGAAAAGGACTTAAACCAAAGAAACAAGGTCATTGAATGTTATTGCGTGTGACTAGCTGACTAGCTATACAGGTGACGGATGTCAGTAATCCAGGCTGTGTTTCTGTGTGAAAGATAAATGCATCAGGTTTATGAAGCATTGTACTGTATGAGGTTCCGTTCTAGCCTGCAACTTTTAACTGGTTACCAAAGTGTCAGGTTTGGTTAAAAATGCACATTTTTTCAGCCTCTGACTTTTTTTTACTGCATTACTACGCATACTGGTACATGTAAATTGCAGTTAAACTTGCCTGGGCTTATTCTAACTTGTCTCCCCCCCCCAAAAAAAACTGAATAAAATCTTGAAAAAATAAAAGCCAAAGAGAACAAAGGCACTGAGTGACTCAGAGAAAGATTTTTAACCAAAATGGATCCACAGTGTCAGCAACTATTTGAACCAGAAGTGCAAGTGTACAGTGCACTCGTCACAGATGAGTAGAAGTCTTACATGTCAATAATGTGCACCATGTGTCATTGTGATTCACCAAGACTTCGTACAGATCTACCAGATCACACATGCACACTTGCTCTGCATGTACAAAGTCATCTTCCTTCTTCAAATGTCAATTCAGTTCAGATGTGCATCCTGCAGTAAATGCATATTGGTCAGTTAGACTAACGTGTGTATATTGGTAGATCTGTGTACATGTGTGTACAATATACCGGTACACGGTATACATGTACATGTATGTATACGCAAGCCAGAAGCTATACATGCAGTTTGCCTTGAGTGATTGAAGAACAAATCAAAGCTGCTGATACATGTGTTTATCCCTCAAACACCAAAGTAACTTGTTTTTTCCCAATGGCAGAACGTTTCCAGCAATAAATAAATAAACAAAGAAATGCGGCATTTTCATTAGCCGCCCAGATTTGGCATCCAGTCATTCCCGGGCTGCCTCCCCAGGCGTTGACAGATATGTGTGTATGGGGAAAACAGCCCTGCACTTGTCCCCCCGTACACTGTACGTACATACATGTACGGTACGTCTATCGTATGCTCATGTGCAACAGGGGGCCGAGTTGACTGTAGCTGAGTCATCTATAGTATGGTACATGTATGTGGCACATGTACATGTAGACTGCCTACATGGCCAGCTGCAGAGAGTTCAAGTTTGTCCAAGTTTGGTACACGTGGTACATACCGGTATGTACATGTACATGCAGGTAGAAAGGCCAGAGTACTGGCGTAATGTTTTGTACAGCATACATAAGAAAGGATACTGTGAAGCGCATCGAGATGTGCTATGTGATGCGCTATATAAGAAATGTGTTATTATTATTATTATTATTAAAGGATGACTGATCTTTGTACCGCAAACCTTGCAAGCATTCCAGTGAAATGTGTATAAGTGATGCTGCACATGTAAAATACATTTCTCTTAATTCAGAACGTATTTGTAAAGTAAACTGCGTGCGTGCACAAGCAGGGTGTAACCATGCCGAGATATATATGCAACCATGCAACCATACATGTACGTATGAAGCCAAACCACGGTGGTTGTGTTTGTATTGCCCATGTCCAATGGGTTTTAGACTCGCGTTGCAGCCATTCATCGGTATATCAACAGTAAAAACACTGCCAACTTGTGGGAATTGCAGTAGTCCAGCGGTTACAGCAAAATGGTTTTTGATGCATGGGGTGTGGGTTCGAATCCTGGGTTGAAATTGTGGGCACGGAGTTTTTTTAAAAAGGAAAATAAAGCCTGAATGTTATAGGAGCCTAATTTCACACGTGAAGTTTTTATGGTTGGTTGAGCATCTACCGTAGATGTCATGCTTTATGCATGGTTGTGAACCGTGGTTTGGCTTCATACATACGATTGCAAACAGCTCACCATAACAGTACATGTACATGTAGTTGTTCCTTAGTTGTGGGGACCAGACCGTTGTATCAATGAAAGGAACAAACACAACCAAAAGAATGGAATGAAAGGAACCTACATATATAGAGTAGTCTGATTGGTGGAATTAAACTTAACAGAAATTAATAATTTGTTCTCCTCTTTTTTTTCATGAACTTTTGGGTTGTTGAAATACAGATTTTGGAGGAATTGAAACACGGGAGACCAATGTTTGTCCCCACAATTCGGTCCTGACTTAAATCGACCCTTCAACTCAGCAAACGCCTACCCACACATACATGTACATGTACCGGTGCATTTACTGTACATGCATATATATGTACAGTATGCCACATGCATACGTGTATAGTAGAGATTTGCTGTGAATTCTTTCAGTATACCTCATCACAAAAGACCCTGAGAAATGATGCAAGTCTACTTTGTACGACTGATGATCTGGTGGATAGGCAGTTGGTATGGTTTGCCAGGGGTACATACAGATACACAGGCATGTACATTAAGTTCCAATGTACCGGTACATGGAACTTTACCAAATTTCCGTTGTTTTTTCTTCATACTGCTGTTTGATGTTCCCTTTTGTACATGTATGCATCGTCACCTTCAATTATAATGCTGCCAAATAGATAATGACATGTTGAAATGTTGAAGTGGTCCTTTGACATTTATGCAGTGCATTACTTAACACTTTGCACCTTCAAAAATATTCTCATGTGCATACTTGTACTTACCACAGCAAACAAGTTCACTTTTAAGGTACACACTGCCCAACACACATGAACTTCTGTCGGCAATGAAAATTAAAAAAGCACTGTGTTCTGTTTTAAACTGAACACTCTGACTTACATGTACACTTCGCAGACTGTTTATTTTGGTAACTTGACACTAAGGTATACTGTAATATATTACCACTGTATGTTGGGGTCTCTGTCTCAGTACACGTGCATATGGTAGCACTAGCAGAGAGCTGTGCAGTTGCTGCATTTTGCCTACTTAGTCAAACCTGGGGTGTCCGATCTTGCACTTCCTCCCACTTTCCATGCCTCTGCCTCAGAGATTGCTCGGCATGACATCCCCATCTTCAAATATACGGCATTGTCAATATGTGGTGGATACACCGATGCGCCTCCTACATTGTGTATTGCTGCACTGTATATAATATTCCAGGATTTTTCTCTCTCTCGGGAGAAGCACCAGTGTCAAGTTTCTGATCTGAGTCTGTTGGACAGAGAGCAGCAGCACAATTAACTCTCCACCGCCGTAATCCGTCGGAGAATGGACTGCATTGCCCTATCTGAAATGACTCTCCACTATTGTCAAGTTATTATAAAGCCAATAAAAAGACGATGATGCATCAATCAAAGAAATATTGGCTGTGTGTCTTGCACTTGACTGGTACGGGGTACATGTCTCTGTGCATGTGCACATGTGACAAGGAGAGGGCTAAATCTGGTGTCTACACACGTACATGCACAAAGTAGATCTTTGGCTCCATTGAGACTATCAGTTTGTCAAAGTCATACAGATGGCTGTCATAAAAGTGTCAAATTCACACTGTGGCCTTTCTGTTGTGTTTCACACGTGCATACAGAGGTGCATGTACCATAGTGGTGACTGGAAATTGCACAAGAATTTCTGAAATGTGCATTACATCATTTCCAGATGTTCAAAGAATAGTAGTAGCTTAGGCACAGTGAGAAGTCCTTATGCATACCGTACATGTACATCCAATAAAAATCGGTAACTTACCGGTAACATGCAATTTCATGGATTCTGAACTGAATAGTATTATGTGCTCAGGTTGTATTATTCATATCAAAGCCACTGAAAGACGTGTTTTAGCTTCACGTTACATACGTACATTGTGTTATGTACATATCGGTACCAAGTTCAACATACTGTACATGTACAATGCTGTAGTGTAGAGAGCTATGTATATATGTACAATGTGATTTGGGATTCCATTGTTTAATGGTAGACTTCCTGAAGGTACTGTACCCGTATATGTATTTGTATGAACAATTTTAAACTAAACCTGAGAATTTGCACAAATAACCACATTTCAAACTTGAGGGTTTACCGTACATCCATGGTTTAATGTGGCATTCCCAGTTGGTTTGACACTGTGACATGAGTTATATTCCGTTATCTCAACAGGCACGAGTTGAGGATCCGTTACCTGCCCAAGGACTACCATGAACTCCTGGAAAAGGACAAAGTCACCTTCTTCTATTTCTACGACCAGGTGAGATACTTCATTTGTGATAGTACCAGTTGACAACTCATGATGAATTTCCAAGATGTTACTATGGAGATTCACCCGTTTTTTTCCTTTATTGATAAGGTTGGCATTGACACCCCAAGGAAGTACTGTTAAGGACTCAACGCATTTTAAAGACGTGTAGTTTGAATTGAAAATAGTTCGTGAGATAGTTACATGTAATTTGTGGGTCTCCAAGTGTAGTGGTGTGTAGCCCACAAGGACATCGTTTTCATGCATATCATGTAAAATACCACGTCATGTCCCAGCATGGAACCCACATGAGATTACCGTTTGAATCTACGCAAAAGCCTTGGTTATACTTCTTGTCATTGTCAGTATTTGTCACAACCAAATGCAAATGCACAATTAAAAAAGTGGCTCAGTGTCTTAATTTACATGTGACAGGAATCGACTGCAGGGCTGTCCATAATTTTTTTTCTTGCAAGTTACCGGATAGTGCTCTTACTGTTTTAGAGTGTTGTTGAAATGATTTCTGTGAAAGGCAAAACACATCATTACAACATACTGCACTGCTGGATTCTTTTACCACACCAACGGATTTCATAACTCCTGCTGTTGTTCACACAGACATTAGAAATTTGCCAGCATGTTGTCAATTCCACAGTCCATTTCCAAGTTATCCGGGTTCATAATCAAATGATGCATGGGTCCCTGCCCCCCACTTTTCTCAGACTTAAACATCTGATTGACAGAAGGCTGAATGAACTCGTAGTAATTAAGAAAGGCTCTGCATAGTTGAGTGACTTGCAGAGGCAAGTCTTGAGTTTCTTGAATTGCAAACAAGAATAGCATTTCATCCCAGACGGAGGAAGCGAGATGAAATTCAGCTCGCCCGAAATAGCGTCCTTTTGTATTGGAATAGAACAAATTGAACGGACGGATGGCACTACAGTTGAAAAGCGAGAGGGAGGCAGAGAAAGGGGAGTGTATGAAATCTCCAAGGAAGCCTTTGTTGCATCAGTCTGCATCTAATGAAATAAAAAAAAGTGCATTTGCATGTTTGTAACAATGAGGTGGAAAGTCTTTTTTCTACTCCGCTGCAAACAGTGCCTCAGACATTGGGACAGGAATGCGCCACCATCATGCAGGGAAGCACATATTGACTTTGGAGATTAGAAAGCAGGAAAATGTAGAAATTAAGTCCAGTCTGAAAAGTTTTATGATGTACCGTACGTTTGATTGCACACACATTGTTACTTTGCTTTCAATCGTGTAAAGTTGAGTGATTGCATGCACTGCACGTTGTGCATTGTGCAGCGTCCAGAGTCATGTTTTTGTGTGCACTTTCAGAGAGGTCGAGGTACTCTCTGCGTGTTTCAGTACCATTGTCGGACACACGGTGGGGTGAATTGTATCGAAGTCATCTAATCCAATCATGTAAACATGTCTATATGTTGCCCACACACCCATCTCTGCTTCTCTTGACACTTTCCATTTGGGAAAATTAGATTTGTTTCCGAAATCCATTTAATGCTGTGGCCTGCTTAGATCTTGATTGTTGGTCGGTACTTCATTGAGTCCCGTTACAACATAGTAAGGGGAGAAATGTTCTACTTGAGCATCTATGTATGCTGTATATTGATCAATGTGTCTCACTTTACCAGGTCAAAAGTACAGTTTGCATACATGGACATTTACAGTATGTTTATGGTATGACTGCATTGTGGGGGGGGATACCTGTCAGGTAGTGTACATGTACTGTATGTGCAACTCTCTTGGATTTGATATTAAATCATGTGTCCAGTTTTCAGGGCAGTTTCTCACATTCCAATTTTCAGAAAAGCAGGAAATCCCTTTTTAAAAATCCACCCATCATGCCATATTTTTCTCTCATCATGTACAATACTCATGCTGTATCCTGTTCATGCTGTGATTTAATAATCACAAAGCTCGTTGCTGTTGAAAGTGACCGTAGTGACCTGAAAACGAAAACTCAATCCCTAGAAAGCTTTTTGTTGTTTTTTCGTTCCTTATAGTCTGGTCAGTCCACAAACCAAACTGAAAGCGTTAATAATGATCATGTATTATACCAGTACGGTGCATGCATTTTAATTTATTGATTTGGCTACAGTGGGCTCGTACATTGTACATAAATTTACGTACAGTATACACTTCATGCACTGTACATGTACATGTATTTACTTTATACATTGAGTGTATATTATTACATTGAGTGGTATATTTCTGTACTTTCCTTTAACTATCAGTCAGATTTAACATGTACAGTGTATA